ACTCTTATCTTTCTGATAGCTCCGGACGACTCCAATGGACTGAACTCTAACAGACTCTTTGGGCTGGGAGCCTTGTGATAGGCTGGACAGTACATTTGGCAATCTGTGATTGGTTGTAAACTGTCACAAGGTGTTGACATGTTATATTATTGGCTGTATTCTGCTGACGCGTTCAGTCGTAAGCATGCAGAACTTCCTGATTCAGTTCTGTTTGTTTGTTGCTCATAATTAAATCATATTTGATTATCATATACGCAGACTTTTCTGGTATTATTCCAATGTGTTTCTGCTTTTTGCGACGARAGAATTTATTATGTTTATATATACAAGAGAACACTAAAAGCACATTCCATACTTTTCAAGTGTGCATAGGAACCCTGAGGCAGATGTGATATCCTCTTAAAATGTTCATAAAGTTGAATTATTGCTTTTCTTTAATTATTTCAGCMGAACATGAACATTAAACTGAGATGATTTTATCGCACTACAGCTTAAACCTATCCATCTCTGTATTAATATTACAGCCTCCCTCCAGTCGCAGCTGTTCTTCATTTACCATCTTTGGAGATCTGGTTCCAGGGGTTGGCGGGGTACATGAAGGCTGCGTTTTGAATCTGGTCGTTAATATCCTCATCCTCGTTGAAGGGGAAAGTCCCGCTGAGGCTGACGTACATGATGACGCCGACTGACCACATGTCCAGCGAGCGGTTGTAGCCCTGGTTCAGCAGAACCTCTGGAGCCAGGTAGGCGGGCGTACCGACCACGGAGCGGCGGAAAGACTTCTCCCCAATGATTCGCGCAAAACCAAAGTCGCACAGCTTCACCTGGGAGACACAACGAAACAAGCACGACCACGAGCTGAGGCCACATTTGATCAGATAAAGAGGAGTTAGTAAACTTGTGAGAAGTCTGAACATGTGGGAGCTGATCTTTACCATACAGCATGTGAAAATAGAAGCTGCTCTTAAATCAAACAAAGCTTGTATGGTATGTTTGTGGGTGAGTACCTGTGGGAAAGGATCAGCAGAGGCAAGCAGCACATTCTCCGGCTTCAGATCACAGTGGACAATGTTCTTAAAGTGGAGGTGTCTGAGAGCTGCAAGAATCTTCTCACCCACAACCACACAATCAGCAAGTGACGCAGGGGAAACAAGTTAGCTTTGATAATATCTCCCAAAATGGTGTCAAAATGGCAAATTACACATTATTCATCATTAAACTGTACAACAACAAGGTCATGCTTGATATAGTAGCACATTTCTACAAAGGAACTCCCCTCTTTGGTGTACACACCTGAGTAATGAGGAATTTAGTGAGTCTTTCAGGCAGCCTGCCTTTTTCACTGGAGAGGATCATCTCCAGCATGTCGCCGTGCAGCTTCTCCATCACCACAAACACTCGCTCCGGGGTTTCAAACATGCACTCCAGGTTCACAATGCCCAGGTGACGTAAACTCTGAAAGAAAGATGTTTTTTTTTTATTTAAATAAAAAAACGTTGAGGAATTCAGAGTAAAAACTGAAAAAACAGATTCAGTGGTGTAAGAGAGAGAACTGGACACATAAGGACATGGTGATGTCAGAACACTGAAAACTGAGAATCAACAAGGAGAAAAATAATTGTATTATGGTGACTAAACAATAGAAAAAGACATTAGAAGGAAGCTTCAGAACTTATACTTACCTAGTTAATTCAGAAGGAATTTATTCTAAGCTGGTTGTGCCAAACCTACTTTTTATTATTAAAGTTTGTTTGTTTTAAGAATAATAAAAATGTCAGATGGGAACTTCAGGTCTGAAAATAAGTTTTGACAACAAATGCTG